GCGGATGACGTAGGCGTAGCGTAAACTCCGGTGAGAATATGCTAGTCTCGCGAGAACCAAGTTTTGTTTACAGCAAAGAAAAAACTGTCTCCTCTTGGCTTTTTATCGAAATCCTCCGACACTTTTCTTTACAAATCCTCGCTTTGTAATTCGTGACCGGTGTTTTGTTTTGCTCTCTCCTCTGCGCTTCCGCATTCGTCACTTCTCACTGGAGCTTACGCTACGGCTACGTCCTACATCTACACTGGAACGCCACAAAATGAATTAAAACTAAATATAATTATTTAAAAAAGACAAAAACAAAATTACAAAAAAAATAAAATAATTAATGCTTTATTTTATTTAGATATATATTTTATCTATTATTTTTTAGTATTTTGTATTAATAATGTATTACATATTTTATATATTGCAGTATTATATATAAAATAATACTTACTAATAATTACTATTTACACAGTTTGATCAGACTGTATAAAGAGAAATGACAAAAGCAAAATAATAAAAATGTAAACAAAAAAAAATGAAAACTGAAAGTATAAAAATAAAAGCTAATTCAAATATGAATAAATACTACAATAGTACATAAATAAATTAATATATAAATAAAATACATTCAGGACACTGGAATGGGATAAACATCAAAATTCGAAACTACAGCCATGCCATGACCATGTAAACGCAGTAAACATATTTGTAAAATTTTCATGTGCAAAGCTACCAGAAAGAAATGTGATTGAATCATTCAGAGAAACTCCATCCACTTGAAATCGCATTTAATTCATCCATCAAGAAAAGTAGTTCCACTTCAAAAGGACGATTTGTACTTTAAATCTCAAATAACAAGCATTTTTGTATAGTAGACTTTTAACAAAAAAATGCAAGCTTTTCATTTCAGTTAAATCCCCTGGAATGCCTTTTCCAACAAGTGCATTACCGAAAAAAAAAATTTTTTTCTGAGCTGAAAAATTATTTTCTGTCATTTGTGACTCAGATCCTGACAATAGTTTGTTGTATTTACCCAGAACATTCTTTAAGACAAGCTACTTCACGGCCGATAGCAGTAAATCAGTCCATTCTTAACATCATGCTTCTGCAGAAGCTGCGATCACATCTACGAGCTGGACTACTTTCCTCAGCTAATAATTCATATTCCAATCTTCCATTTGATGGAGTGGAAATTTGTTTAAAAAGCAAACGAGTAATGAGATTGCAGGGCTGGTTAGAGACTGATGTTTTAGGGTGCTTTCACACTTGGTTCGCTTGCCTGGTCCGAACCCGAGTTCGATTGCTCCCCCCTCCCCCTGCCCCTGCTGGACTGCGTTCATATTATTTTATTTGGATCCGAACCGCGGTTCGGTTTGCGGTTTGCGTCATCAAGCCAGCAGCTGTTTACCCCATTGCTT